CATATATAGTACTTTAGACTAAACAGGCCCTCCTCTTATAGGGCAAATGCACCTTCTTGTCCTTCACATCCTTATAGACAACATCCAAGATGAGCTGTTCCATCAGCTTTCCAGGGATCAAGGTGAGGCTACCTGGTCTGCTCGTCTGGAGTTGCCTTGGTCCAAAAAGTACCTTTTTCCCTTCTAAGAATTCCAGGCTAATGCCTTACTAGAGTGAAGGACGCCAGTTCCTTACATTTTCTGGCTGATAACCGTGGCATTCTGGCACGGGCAAAATGTGTCAAATGTGTCCAAACCACAGCTTTAGCACTTTGCTTTGTAGGAATACAAACCATAGTGAGTTTTCTTCCACATAAATTTATTCTTTGAGCACAGTATGAACTTTCTCATAACTTAATTTGTTCAATTATTAATATGATAAACTTGTTACAGCCAGGTTCCTTAATGAATTTATCACAGGAACTATTTTGTTTTTTATGCACAATCATCTTAATAATGGAATAATAGGCCTCTCAACCTTCCCATGCTGTGAAAATTAAGTAACATCTTATCCACAGTTTGCATTAACGGATATTGTTTAGTAGTTCATTTAAATTATTAATGACTGCTTTTGCAATACGAAAATGCAACTTGTTGGGTTACTTACACAACAAGAATAATTTAAGTTATGCTTAAATGAACCTGTCATTACATCATGCATCATTTCAGTAAAATATCATTCTAGCTTTACGGTTAATTTGTGCATGATACTAAAATCAGTGGCAATTGTTCTGGGGCATGATAGAGACATTGAAGTCACCAAAAATTATTATTGGCAGACTATTTAAATGCTAAGTGGTATTTACAGAATTGAAAAGATACCCTAGAATGGAAGTAGCACTAATGGAGCAGAAGTGCTAAAACACAACTTGCATCTGAATATGAGGACTGATCTTTTTTAAAACCATGATGTTTTCCCAGTGACCTAAGGAGAAGTTGTGGTTATAGAGGACATAAGTCCTTATACGTTCAGTACTGAAAGACTGAAGTCTATGAGCTTGAACTATGCTAATAATTTTAGCGCTAGTTGCTACTATTCTGCTACTAGTGGCGCTGTAGTTGGTACAAGCAGAAGTCGATAGGATTCTGAGACATCTGGCTAAATTTTTGTTACTTTCTGTAACAGACACAAGACTTTGCATCTTCTATGTAAGTAAAGAATGGTTTATTTTATTTCAATAAAAAGCATATGGACTCTTTTAATGGAATAATTACAGTAGTAGTTTTGTGTTATGTGTTAGATAATACATATGTAGTAGGGAAAAATAAGATCTTTAAGCACCAGTTGGCTCCGTAGGACATGAAAACGAGATGTACTTTTTTCCAATTTATTTATTAGCTTTATGAGTTTGGCAATATAGTAACACAGTAGTGGTGGCAACATAATATATGTAAGGATTGGTGTCAGATAAATATTCAATGGATATGATTTACAAATATCTATACAATTTTGCTGGATTTGAGATAGAAGAACCAGATTGATGTTCTTCCTTAGAGAAATGAGCAGTCATTTTCCTGAAAAGACACCTCTCTTATTCATGTTGCTTCTGCTAAGCCAAGGGAACTGCGGCTCTGGAAGGCTTAGCTTGTTAGCATACTTAAGTAGTGTTAGCAATAAAGAGCATTAAGCTTGTATGCTTGCTCTATAAAAACAACAAGATTGCTCACGAAATCTTTCATAACTTCTATGTGACAGCTTAGGAGGATGAACCAATTAAAGAACAGTTAATTAACTGCTTTATCTTCTTCTAATAGTGGAGAACTAGTCATCTCTGAATGAAATATGGAGTACTGCCTAAACTCAGTCAAAAGTCAAACTACAGAATCACAGAATGGTTGAAGTTGGAATGGACTTCCAGAGATCATCTAGTCCAACCCCCCTCATCCAGCAGGGACACCTAGAGCATGTGGCACAGGGTCACATCCAGGCAGGTTTTGAAGATCTCCAGAGAAGGAGACTTCACAACCTCTCTGGGCAGCCTGTTCCAAGGCTCTGTCACCCTCACAGTAACGAAGTTCTTCTCACATGGAGATGGAACTTCCTGTGTTTCAGCTTGTACCCATTACCCCTTGTCCTGTCACCGGCCACCACCGAGAAGAGCCTGGCCCCATCCTTCCTACAGTCTACCCTCAGGTACTTAAACATATTGATCAGATCTCCATTGAATCTTCTCAATCTTCCCAGGGTAAACAGGCCCAGCTTGCTTAGTCTTTCCTCATAACCTAGATGCTCTAGTCCCTTAATCATCGTTGTCGCTCTATGCTGGATCCTCTTGAGAAGCTCCACATCCCTCTTGTACTGGAGAGCTCCAGGTGCGGTCTCACCAGAGCTGAGGAGAGGGGCAGGATCACCTCCCTTGACCTGCTGGCACCACTCCTCCTGATGCTGGTCAGGATCCCCTTGGCCTTCTTGGCTACAAAGGCACATTGCTGACTCATGCTTAAGCTGTTGTCAGTCAGGATTCCCAAATCCCTCTCCGCGGAGCTGCTTTCCAGCAGGTCAGCCCCTAATCTGTACTGGTGCCTGGGGTTATTCCTCCTCAGGTGCAGAACCCTGCACTTGTTCTTGTTGAACCTCATGAGATTCCTCTCTTCCCAACTCCTGTCTAGGCCCCTCTGGATGGCAGCACAGCCCTCTGGAGTGTTGGCCACTCCTCCCAGTTTGGTATCGTCTACAAACTTGCTGGCGGTGCACTCTGTCCCCTCGTCCAAGTCACTGATGAACAAGTTGAAGAGCACTGGGCCCAGTACTCATCTCTGATCAAGAATTTACTTGAAAATCTGCCTTCTCAGGACAATGAACATCCTAAGGGTGTTCATTTTGTTCATTCATTAGACCTGAGTAAATATATATGTACATATATGTGTATTTAAGAAATTGGGAGAGTTATATATAGAGAGAGTTGGGAGAGTCTAGTTAAACCCAGACCAAGGGCCCAGTTTTGCAAAAATCCATATGTTTAACTTCATGCATTTGCTTTGTCATCTTTATAACTTGAGAAACAATCATTCCAGGAAAAAAAAAAATAGTGTGAAACTACCAGGTTATATGCACATCCAGACAATACACATGGAATGACTAAGCACAATCTCTCGAAAATTATTATAAGTAATAATATTTCACACTCTTTTCCTTGTCCATGTTTAATCTTGTCTAACTAAGCGCTTGGGTAGCTGTAGGAAAGGATATATTTCTTCTGTGGAGCACCTGACAAGTACAAGAAGGATAGTATAAAATAAACTGACCAAAAGTACTAACAATTATTTTTGGCTTAATAAATTTTTAAAATAAATTATTCTGTTTAGTGTTTCTCTGTTATTGCAATGTGGTGCTTTGAAATATTAGCATAAGCCATTGCATTTTACAACAGTGCAATTAGGAGGTCCATTTAAACAGCTTTATCATACACATACATAGGCTGATTAATTTTCTAATCAAATGTTCCAGGAAATCATTAACCACGGCATTAAACAGTGTTGTGCTAATTACACTCTGCATGAAGAATTTCTATCTAAATTTACAATTAAAAAATCTATAGAAAATGTGCAAACGCTTGGATCTATAGAAATAATTCTAGCATCTCCCACTGTAAATAAACCCCTACCTCCCTAATGTTGGGGGCATTGGTACCACTAAGGTTGAATTAGGGGCTGCATTTTCTGGCACCTGTCCACATAATTGTAGCCATTACATTTTGTAGAAAAATGCCCATGTAAGTCACACTGAAAGACTGAGATTTGTACTCTCTCCATGGCACTGAATTGTAATGGAAGCCACTTGAATCAGGTGAAAAAGTAACTGCATTTTTTTGAGTTGAACCAGTATTATTTTTGCTGCATTCAGGATAAACAAAATGATAAAAGGAACAAGGAAACATAAGCATTTTTTTTTATTGAATGACAGTAGGAAAATGGAAAACTTGTGCTCTGTTATGAAGTCATTTTCAGATGTGAAACATTGAGAATCGGCAATAGATTTCCCTCTAAAGATGTCTTCAATTTTCATTATTATTACAGCTACTGTTAATTGAAGATAAATGTTTGATATCAATCACATTGCTGAGAAATCAGTTATTTCTAAAGTATACACCATTCGCGCATTTCCCCATACAATACAGAATTTTCGTGTTCTTTCTGTTACTGAAAACAGCTAACTGAAGTAAGCAAATTCAGAACATAAGTGTACCTATCTCTGCTCTTCTGGACCTGCTAATACTGCTATTAGCCCTCAATAAAGATCGCACCCACCAGAAATCCATGGCAAAAAATGCCATTTTAATGGGACATTTATTAGGGTTTATCTTGCTTGTGTCCATCTATACCCTCGGACTAGCAAACTGCCCTGAGGGGCCAATTTCTTAAATAATAATAAGTTAAACAGCTCACACAAACACTGGAACCATGTATAAAGCTGGAATTTTTAGTAAAAGCAGTGTCCTCCTTTCCCGACCAGCCCCCGCAGCACTGGGCCCCAGCTTCCCGCCCGGCCGCTCGGGACTACAACTCCCAGCATGCAATGGCGGCCGCGCTGCGCGGGCTGGCGCCGCGCTGCCCCCTGGGACATGTAGTCCGGAGAGGCGGTGTCATTTAAGGTGCGGTCACTTCTGCAGGGCGCCTCCGTGAACAGCTGATTCACTGCAGATTGGCGGGAGAAGAAGCCAATGGGAAGAAAGGGCGCCGCAGCCCGCGGCCGCGGGTTGGCTGGCGCGGGGGCACGGGGGCGGGACGGGCGGTGGCGGGGGGGGTCGGAGG